GTGATATACTTTGAGCCCTAGAATGATACAGAACAACAAATACCTTAAATGAGGGTACTCACATGGCTGCTAATTGAAATATGATTATCCCACTGCTGTCACCAATGTGTAAATTATCAATGTTTTAAAAATGTTTTAATCTCAAATAAACCTTCAAAACTTAAAAATTTGTAAAGTTAATGCTAAAACATGGCATACAAAAAGCATTTTCCTTTTTGAGGCATTTAAATTTTAATTGTACCAAGAGTATACTACACTGTATAAGTACAGGGACATTAAAAAACATTCTAAACTAAATGAAATCTATACACACAATGTGTACCAAAGATGCATGTGAAGCCAAACTTAGTAGTTTTATTCAATACATGATATACAGACAATGGGAAATTATGTCCACTTGATTCAAAATTAATGAAGAAAATGAAAGATAAGGACATACAAATTTGTGATAAATGAATTAAAAAACAGACCACCTAACAGTAACCATGGTTTTATTATAATAACTTTTTTGCTTTTTAATTTAATATGTTAAATTAATGCATTTTGAAATTCAACTCCCCCAAATCAATTGACATTTAAGAATAAACTAATAACATCTGGACATTTCTTCACAAAAAATAAATTTAAATGTTGACGAAAAAAATGGCAATTAATACTTGACCAGATTAAGATCCAAATTGTGCTTCTTCTTGTTTACATAATATTCTATTTCAGTTGAATTTCCATTTAAATGTGATTAAATTCTAGTGCAACATATGCTATTTAGTGGCAAACAGACCGTTACAGCATTTTATGTTCTAGCGACAAGCCCTGTGCTGATGACCATTACTACTGTTGGCCTCGATCCATCTTCAATTTTCCAATAAAGTGAATTGGAGAGTCTGAAAACCTCATCAAAAGAACTGACTGGAACTGTTAAGGTCTTATGTATGAGAAAATGTCTGTAATTGACTTTCTATTCCACAGAACCTTTCAACTCATCACCATTTAAAATGAGAAGAAATGCAATTTTAAAATCTGTATCCTCATCACTTTTTTTTTTTTTTTTTTTTTTTCACGTCACTCAATGATTGCAAGGATTCCTTGTTGGAAAGAAGACAACCTTCAAACTCCATGTATTGCAAGGATTCCTTATTGGAAAGAAAATAACCTTCAAACTTCATGTATTGCAAGCATGCCTTGTTGGAAAGAAGACAACCTTCAAACTCAATGATTGCACGCATGCCTTGTTGGAAAGAAGACAACCTTCAAACTCAATGATTGCAAGCATGCCTTGTTGGAAAGAAGACAACCTTCAAACTCAATGATTGCGATGTTGTTATTTATCAATATGATCAAGTGATGCACTATATACTTAGAGTTGAAAAGCACTTACATTTTGCACACATAATTTTCATTTTAATATGACAACATATTTTTGTGTGGACTAGGTTACTTAAAGCGCGGTCTCATATAAACAAACATGGCGACTTTGACTGTTGCGCAGATCAACGAGTACGAACTGAGACATTTCCAAGCTTTAATTAGGTAATTTTCATGTTATTTGAAGGTATCAAAGAGTCACTGGCATTAATCAGTGCAAGTTGCGCCCAGGTCAAACCTCATACTTGTGATTTTCATTTGAAGAGCGCGACGACTACCACGCTTTAAGATAGAGATGCAGGTTCATGTGCACTTGGGAGTGAATTTTTTTTTTTTGCTTTTTATTATCCAAACAAACAGTCCTGGCTAGACTGTTAAAATTTTGTAGAATTGTGAATAGTGGAACATACTCAAAAGACGATTTTAAAATATAGATAACTGGTGCAAACATTCTCTCTTTTGAATGCTTACCAAGATTTAGCAAGACTGTACATAAATA